GAAGCTGTGTATACTTATTCTACTAAACATAACATAAGATTAATCATCGTATAATCATCACTTCAACCATACAAAATGAGCTTATATGTGACCAAAATATCTAAGGCGACTCCCTCTAATCTTATCTTATACTGGAGCTACTCAAACCAATTGACGTATATGCTCATTTCATATTCAGTCTCTAAGAGTAAAGCCACTCATCCTCTTAAGCATCCTCATCTCTACGACACTTAACTTAATATTGTGCTTCTCTTTTAATGGCCAACATTCTGAACTATAAAGGCATTGCAGTCTCACCACATCTTATAAATTTTTCCCTTAAGTTTGAGGGGACTTTTCTATCATACAACAAGTTTGATGCATTCCTCAACTTCAACTATACAAAATGAGCATATATATATGACCAAAATATTTAAGACGTCTCTCTCTAATCTTATCTTTAACTGGAGCTACTCCAACCATTTCACGTATATGCTCATTTTGTATCCTATCTTTAAGAGTAAATCCACTCATCCACATGAGCATCCTCATCTCAGCAACACTTAACTTAATTTTATGTTTCTTTTTGAATGATCAATATTATGCACTATAGAACTGTGCAAGTCTCACCACATCTTATAGAATTTCCCTTAAGTTTGAGGGAGACATTTCTATCACACTACAAGCTCGATGAATTCCTCCACTTCAATCATACAAAATAAGCATATATGTGACCAAACTATCTAAGGCTACTCTCTCTAATCTTATCTGTTCCACTGGAGCTACTCCAACCATTTCACGAATATGCTCATTTCATATCCTTTAATTTCTCTAGGAGTAAAGCCACTTATCCCCTTGAGCATCCTCATTTATGCAACACTTAACTTAATATTTTGTTTTTCTTTTAATGCCCAACATTTTGCACCATATATAAAAGCATTGTAGGTGTCACCACATCTTATAGAATTTTTTCTTAAGTTTGAGGGGGACTTTTCATATGACAAGCCTGATGCATTCCTCCACTTCAACTATACAACTTGAATTCAGTTAAAAATATCTCCATATATTTCACCATCACTATGAATAATAAACCCAATATATAAAAAACATGTACTCTTATTAATGACTTAATCTTCCAAATGCACAATCCTAATATTTATTGGCTATTTGGTATTAGATTTACATTAAATATTACAAAATAGTTTTTGAGTGCTCCATAAATCATAGTCCTCAATAAATCCCATATTTACGATGTAAATCAAGGATTTAGTAAATCCCTCAATTTGACAAATTTAAGAGTTTATGGCTAACTCCCATCATAAAGGAAGGAGGCGAAGTTCACCTACGTAGCGAGTGAGCTCCCATCGTGACTTCAATATGAGGTCTTCAAAGGAGGCAAAGAAGCCATTGAGCTCCCATCATGCAAAGCACATGAAGCCGAAGCAACCACGACGAAATGACGATGAGGAAACTGTATTCTGATTTGCCTAAACATACTGTCCTGATTGAATATCTGCTCTCTGCAGCAAATGTTTTTGCTATTCATCAATTTTGTCTATATTTACATTCTAAACATAAAAAAAAAAACACCTAAAAACTAATTTGATAATTTGTAATAATAAAATCAGGTCATAATTGTATTATTTTTCATTATAACAAATTAAAGATAATTAAAATTAAAGTTAAAAAGTAATTCATAATTAACTCAAATTAAATTCAAAACATATTTAATTTAATTCACAAATGAACCAATTACTGCCTTAAATCCTAGATTACACTGTCAAACAATTTCTTAGGATTTATGAGGATTTAACATATGTCATACTAAAGAAATTTTAGGATTTAACAGCCTAAAGGTTTTCTAAATGTGGATTTACAAGATTCACAAAATCTCACTAAAGTTAAATCCTACATGTTGCCAATCAGCTCCTTAGACTCTAATGTTGACATCTATAATTCAGGTTTACCTTCAACTCCCTCACTACTCTTATCAACAAGAAGAATATCATCAACAAAAGGCATACCTTGGCAATATGGTCTGGGCGGCACGGAGGGAGTTAGGCCTACTCAAAGTTTTGCAGGGAGGGAGTTCAGCCTATTCGCTGATTTGGACGAAGAAGTGCGTAGAAGGAAGAATGATGGATACCTTCGCAACGACCAAGCTCTTGTGAGCGTGAAGGAGGTGTGACTTCGTATGCGAGAGAAGAACAATGAGAGGAGGCATGACTTCAGATGTGACAGGAAGGAACATCGTCAAAGGTGGTGGCCAATGTGAACATCATCGAAGGCCACGAGAAGTGCATCGTTGAAGGGGGATAAAAAGCGCCATAGTTGAAATCGAAGGAGGCGGAGAAACATAACAAATGAAACGGATGCTTACTTAGTCGATTAGTTGGATATGTGGCAGATTTTTTATCGCAAATGTGCAGTGCATGGATATTCAGCCTTTTTTATTTTTTTGAAATTTTTCGTTGCAAATATGCTTCTATTTCTTGAAAAAAATAATTCATCGTGCAATGTCCGCCGAAAAAAATCTATCTTTCTTGTAGTGGTACTACTTTATAAAGCAATTTTTTATTATAATTAAAAAAAAATTGTTGTAGAAAACTACTTCATAAAACTGTAACTTATTTTATAGGATTAAAATTAGACTCCACAACTTAAAAAATAAGTTATAATGAAGAAAGCCATCAATTATAGGCCTTCAGCAAAAACTTGTAAGCATGTGAATAGCTCATTAGTACTCACTTTCAAATAGTAGGTAACATTAATTTTAATCATGAAAATTAAGTGCATCATAATATTTATTTTATTTGCATTCAAATCGTTTATTATAAATTTTAAAATGATACCAAAATCATTCATTATAATCATTTTGTGCTTACTATTATCATGTTTATGACAATTTAATGCACATCAAATTATTAAAATATCTTTATGTGATTTATCATATTTTTGTTAATTTTTTAAATTAAATTTGAATAACAATTTAAGCAGTTAAAATAAATATCTTTAAGATTCCATAACATGTCATAAATGTCTGTTAGGCCAAAATTCCATTTTTTCCCAAACATTCCACCAAGGATAACATGCATGATGTCCACTTGACATATCTCAAGCATTTATGAAATACTTACAAAAATAGCTTAGCATTATGCTTCATACAATTTTATATCAAAGGCATTTTGGTAAATTGCTAAATAACTAGATTTGAAGGGGAAGCTAGAATTTTTTTTTTTTTTTTTTCATTTGCAAGGGGTGGTCAGCCATGGGGTAATTAAGGAGAAGAGGAAGGAGGAGAGGAGAAAATGAGAGACTTTGGCTTCGTTTGGGATGGCTTTTTTTCTACTTTATAAAACTGCTTTTTAGTACAAAAATTTTTAATTCAAGAAATTTTTATACTAGCAAGCTGTTTTAGAAAGCAGCAAAGAAGTTGTTCCAAAAGAAGCCTTTGTAATGATTTTATTTGAATTTTTTGTGTAGAAAATCTTTACCTTAGCTTAAGAAGCTTACTTTATTCTTATAGTATTTTACATATGTAAATTGCTGAATAACATTATGACTATGAAGTATGATATATTTTTATATGTATGTTATTATTCAAATTTTGATTTGCAAGTGGTCAAATATGTCATTGTTATTTTGATATATATATATATATATATATATATATATATACAAA